CTCAAATTTGCCGACATCGAATTTCCGACGGAATTAGTTCCGTCGGTATGAACTGACCAATCAAATTTTGCCGACATCGGAAAAATTGAATTTCCGTCGTTATTCCGTCGGAAAGTCGTCGAAAAATTACGACAGTTTATTTCTGTCGGAAATCCGTCGGACAAGACGACGGATTTCCGACGGAATACCGACAGTTTCCGTGTCCGTCGGAAATCCGTCACAAAATTCCGACAGATTCATTTTGTTCGGATATCCGTCGGGATGCCATCGGAAAATTCCGACGGAATACTGCTTGTTTTCTTGTAGTGTTTGAGTGTACTTTAAAACTAGTACTGTATTGACCAAGATAATAATCAATGAGATAGCTAAAAGGAAATAGAACAACACAAGATGATAAGTTTTAGTTCGTAGCAACACAAGAACTCCCAACAATTCTTACAATAAGCTAATTATTCCCTAGCAACAACACAAGAATTCCCATAAGAAACACAGTGTCACATTTAAGACACAATTAGAAAAAAGGAAAAAAAGAACACCAGCATCTCTCAGTTGTCACTCATTGCGGCATGTAGAAGCTCCTAGTCCAAACTACAAAAACAAGAAAATCAAAGGAAAATCAACCATACAATAATCCAACACCAAAGTAAAGACCCTTGCTGGTAGATGTTTCGTTACCTTTGTTTCTTGGCATCTTTCTCGACATCTTTCTCCAATCTATAAATCAAAAGAAATCAACAACCATAAAAGAATCTAACACCAAAGTAAAGAAGACCCTTGTCGATAGATGTTTTGTTACTGTTTTCTCTTGGCATCTTTCTCCAGGTCTTTCTGGACATCAGTCTTAACAGTCCCAACACATTCAACTACCAAAACAAACCAAACACTAAAAATCTCAAGAAACGGCCACTTTCAACAACATATACAAACAAAGAGGCAAACATGAATCCATACAGATGGAAAAGAAAAAAGCTTTACCTTTTTGACCAGGTTCGGGCCTGCAGAAGACATACTCAAGCATGATTCCTTCAGCGTGGCGTACCCTTGCTTGGAAGTGTTTGATAAGGCCATCGTAAGGATCCTTAACTTGAAATGTTATGAGAAACATTATCGCACCAGAAAAGTGGTAATTGGCTCGAACAACCTTTACAAACTCAAATTTTGTATTCTGTTTTCATACAAAGAAACATTGATAAATAAATAAGCGAGACATCATTGGAAGAATTTGAAAGCTCACATTTTTCAGATTGTATCCATCAAGGGACCCCTGAGAGAGCCTGATGAGAAAATCCTCAGTGGTTTCTGGCTCGTCAACGAACTGATGTGTATCGAACATAGCAGGATGGTAGTTGAAAACGCAGCGGAAGAGTGAGAAATTGATATCAAACCCCTGTTTGTTGTTTTTATGCAAATACAAATACAATATCACACCCTTAATCTCACAAAATCAATCATGAAGCTAAAAC